CAAGCGGCCGCGCTATTTCCACCATCATGCCTGGTCCTTTGAGCCAACCGTCGATTCACGGTTGTTCATGCGAAGGTTCAACCTGGTGCTTGGATGCTCGAACGATAGCAGGTTTCACACACACATATATATATATATGTATATATGATCATATTATATGTATACAGTATACATTTATGACATATGAAGGAAAGTGGCCCTCCTGAGACCACGACGAACCAATCGTTTGCTCTTAACAGGGAACATGGATTGTTCAAAAGGGGGCAAGTGCATTTCGGATTTGGTGTTCCTGCTGTGATGAACGGACTGTTGGACTGATGGTGAACGACATTGTTCGATAGTTTTCGGGTTCTTGGGCTGGCGTGCCTGGGGATGTTGACTCTTGAGTAACCTCCCAAGCCAGGAGATGTGAACAACCCTCCAGCTATGGAGCTTCAACATGAGTAATCTCACCTCCTGAAATGCTTCTCTTGATTTGGGATGTGAATCATGGGACGTGCTCAAACAAAACCACAGGACCTGCCAAATGGGATTCTTGAGATTTGTTGAAGCGAACCCAGGCCGCGATTCCGTTCTTCGCCAGAGCTTCACAGATTGAACCCAATGAAGTGAAGTGGAGGCTCATGGTCGCCTCGTGCTATCGGCGTGACCTGAATAAAGCCGGGGATGTCTACTAGAAGTCGAGTCCACTCCACCCCACCCAAAGGGTATGTAGCGGAAGGAAAATCCATCGTCAGGGGGGGTCCATAAACTACTTTGGGTGGTGTTGGCTCATGATAATGGTTTGATACATTATGATTGATATGATTTGATTGCCAACTTGATGGCAAAGAAGAGGGGGTGTTTTGTTTGTTTCGCCGTTCAATTGTCACTCAGACTCACTTCTGTTCTGCTAAGGTATGGGTGCCTACCCAGCAGCTTTGAAATTGTATGAGGATATTCATCGCTCACATCCAAACGATATCGAGTGCGTGAGATATCTCATCACCATTTGCAAGGAGATGAAGCAGAAGTATGATCCTGGATGGAATTGACAACTGTTTTTTTCTACTTGTTTTTCGGCTTTGCCATGTGTTGCTCATGCGCATTGTGTTGTTGTTGGTGTTGTTGCTGTGCTGTTGCTGCTGCTGCTGTTGCTGCTGCTGGTTTCTTACATGCTTGGCAGAACATCGCGGGCGGGCATTATAGTCTGGCAAGCCCACAGTTTTCCACTGTTTGTTGGCACGTTAGCATAATTAATTATGGATGCCCCTCCCCCTGCTGGAGTCTTCTGATGCGCCAAGGATCACTACGCCGCGCATCTCCGAAAGCTGGAGCGAATGCAGGAGGCCCAGCAAGGGCAGCAGGGTGGGCGGCCGATGAACACCGTCTCAGCCATCGGGCAGGACTGGCTGGCGAAATGGCGGGTTCCAGCTTGGCCGCCTCTAAAAGCGTTTGGGGTGAATCTGGGGTGAGTTAAAGCATGTTAAAGCTGTCGTGTCCAAGAAATCAACAGCCATGTTATGAGAAATATGTAGGACGTAGACATACAAATTGTTATGACTTGTGACTTGTGTTTTTCTGTTCTGTCCAGGGTTTCACCCGCGGCGAAGTCCTTGAGCTGCCACTTTTTTGAGAGACATCGGTGGAGCATTTACTCTTGAGGGGTCATAGAGTGCCCTAGGCTTGTGTACTTGTTCAACACCATGCAACCCGTGTGAACCACCACCAACACCTGACGCCGACGCCAGGATGATAGCCCGATGGATGAAGGTCGCATGGGCTTCGGCGGTTCTCGGGGTCACTTTGATGAGGATGACGCTCCACCAGCACCACCAGAGCCTACGGCAGCAGCCAGAGCGACGCGCGAAAAGCGGATAATTTTTGTGAAAAGTGCCAGGAAGCTGATCTACTCTCAGAGGTTTTTTCACTAGCCTGTAGGTCAAATCCATCAGAACCTGGTCCAGTGACCACAAATGTTCCATTGGATTCCCCATCGCACCCACCGATCCATTCGCCTTCTCCCATTCCTCTTCGGTCCAAGGATCCTCCTCGCCCACCGATGGAGCTCTACGAGGCCGAGACCGACCTGCCGCAGAAGGCAGCGCCCAAGCGGCGCCTGGCGGCGCCCAAGGCCGAGGACGACGACGACTGGGGCAACGATGACCTCGGACGCTTGGATGCCACGGCGAAGGCTTTTGGGAGATGATTGCATAATATATATATATACATAATGCCAGCTATTAATTTACTGTTTTTCTGCTGTATGTATTTCTTGTTTTGTTTTGTCTTGTCTTGTCTTAATGTAATCTAATCTAATCTATCTAATCTAATCTAATCTAATCCTATCCCATCCCATTCGATCTATCTATCTATCCATCCATCCATCCATCCATCCATATTATATGAGATACAGTACTTGATATGGGCGTGCTGGGCCTCCATTTTGAGACACCCACATTGCTAGATTCAATAGGTGCTTGGCTCGACTGTTCGGAGAAAGAGGAGAATCCGGTTCTTCTTGTGGTGGCACATCTAGCTAAGCTACAGATGTATATATTTACGCGTTTTGTCATAGGGTGGCCCAACCGCATGTGTGAGCAGCGCTTTCAGAATGTTTAGAACTCTTTGAACTTGAGCCAACAGGTCTGGAAGATCCCTGTCATGTAGAATTAGTAGGCTGATGTGCGCTTTACTTAGGTAGGGCAAATGCGCTTGTCCTATAGGTTCTCATGTAGAACAACTCCGGGATTCACAATCTGTGTGCCACATCTTTTGCTGAACTGCGCGATAAGGAGATGTTTTGCCTCCCATGTGAAGAGGCAATTGTAGGCGGCATCAGCTGTACAGACAATGCGCCTGGTGCACGCTTGGCATGCGAATAGGTAGCATTTTCTCTTCAATTGTACATTGTCTGTCAATGTGGCGTGAATTCGTTTGGCGGGCTCCCATTCTTCCAAAGCATACCAGACCACGTTGGAACCTACCTTCCTGCAGATTCACATGTACCCCAACCACGGAGCAGTTATTTAGATACTTTGCGGTCCATGTTAATCTGCAGGTTGTTCTTTGAGATGTGTTTTGTTGTTTACTTCTGATGTCCATGCCCGGTTTCACACTAAGCATGGTTGACTTCCCAACGCACGAGAATTGCTGAAAGAACGGAGAGGGGAACGAGGGGAGAGAGCTGACTGCCAGTTAAAGATACAGTTGGGCGTTGATCCTCCGGATCCTTCCAAGGGCAAGCTACCCCCCCAATGCCTTTTGAAGGCTTCGACATGCTTCGACTCAAGACTATATAAATTGTTTTCCACACTTGGAACTTGGAACCTAAATGAGGGTGGAGCCAACACTGTGGCGGTCAGGGATGCGGGCGAAATTCGATCAAGTCGTGGAGTCCTCATTTGCTAGAGGGGACCATGAATGCCAAACTCCTTCTATTTGGGGCCATGTTTCTTCCTAGCAACTGGCACCCCCTGTTTCAGGGTCACATTAGGAAGCGAAACTCGGAGGATTCACGGAGACGAAACCAACAGACCGGGGACGAACAGACTCCCGTCCGGTTCAAAGCGCGCCTGTGAGGCGGTTTGCTGATCTTTGTGGAGCATGTGCCGCCATGTGTGCCTGGGCGCCTGGCTCACGCCGCTTACCGGCACCTGCTACAGCCGATGACAGCTGCGGTCTGCGGCCACTCGCCAAGCACTGCCGATTGGAGACTCCGGAAACAACTCTTGTTCCAAGAGTCAGTCTCGCATGGTCTCGCCAAACAAGCATCTGGACAGAAGCGAAATACATTGAAATCTCATCGCAACTGGCTCCTGACGTCATGTAAAGACCTTGTGTGCTGTTCCCTTCCCCACCCGAAGAGACGCAAAAAATACGGGCAAGTCTCATACAGGCAGCTGCCGCACGTTGCTCCACCAGTCTTGGGATTTGGTGCCCGCGGGCGTGTGCCCCACGTGTGCCTGTTGACTCGAGGATGGATGCCTCACGTGCCAGGTTTGACCACTTGGTAGGTGGAGGCCCTGAAAAAGCGGTCCAAAGAAAGTCTCCGGAAAACCTCGATAAATAACAATATGATTCTGTATAAACCAAAAGTCTTGAGGGAGATGAGGGGAGTCTAGATTCTGAAGGAGCTCTTTTGTTCATGCCTTGGGTGAAAGCATCACGTGAGGTTGTGATTTAAGCTCCGATGCAGCCAACATATTGCAGTCTGTTTCTTGGCAGGAGTGGGAACATGGATTATGTTACTGTAATTTGGGTTTGCGAGTCTGAGACATTCAATATCCATATCGATCTGTTGTTTAACGAAAAATAGAGCCATGTAATACCATCCAGCAAGCCACAGACATGCCATACAAGCTTGCTTCATGACATTGAGATTGAGGAAGATTGAAGATTGAAGGGCCCAGGGCCCTCCTTCCCTTTGGATCGTTCCCTGCTGAGCCGCCACCTCACAGGACTTCAGGTTGACGCCCTTCGAGCTTCACCCGCTGGGCCTTTGTGTGCCACACGTGCGCGGCTGGGCAAGGATGCACTGTGCACCAGCCTGTGAAGCGGAGTTTCTCTAGGTGCAAAGTCACCTGCGGAACGCCAAACATCAGCTGCCATGCTGACAGACTCTGGCCATGAGAAAAGACTGGCACTCTTTTCACTTTGCCTGGATACCGCCTTGCAAGTTCCACTGGGTGGGAGGTCCGACAAGACTTCCCACAGCCACACATCTACTGTACCGCATGGTTCAGCTGATTGGTCGTGTCAAACACATTGGCGTGTTATATACAGACCATAGTGCCATATTGAACTACCGCAGCTTGAATCCAAAGGCAACCTGTCAAAAAAATATGTAACAGCTTGAGATCACCTCTATTTACCTTGGATCACTTGACCGGAGTGGAAAATGATCCCCTACTTTCCCCTTACGGAAAATAGTGGCTTTTCCACTTTCCATGTGGTGGGAGTGTGTTATGACATCTACTGAATCTACTGCTTTCTTTCCACAAATCCCAGTGTTTCGTCAGGTGCAGCCCGTCACCACAAGCTGCCGCCCGGAGACCCAAATGCCGGCCCGTCTGGAGCTAGTCACCTTGAGAAAGCGAAGATGCGTTTGATTGGGAGACCAATGGAAGATGTGACCGCGAAGCATCTACTTGCATATCCTGGAAGTTTTGGTTTCTGTTTATGTTTTTTTCTTTCGGGGGGTGGGCTTGCCGGCACACTCAACCTGTTTGGGACAAAAGATAGATAGTCAGATAGTTCTTATAGTTCGGATGGTGGGGGCTAACATTTTGCTCATACCCTGCCATACCCTGCCGTAGCCTTGAGCCTGAAGAAGCCCCAGATCTGACGGAGGGGAAGTTACCACTTCCACTGCGTATTCATAGATGAAGCCAAGCCTGTGTTCTTGCTGGGTACTTAATTAATGTCCTGGTCCCGCTGCTTTATGATGCCACCAGCACATTCAATACCATTGCATCTCTTTTTTTTTTCGCCCAGCGTTGGCTCAAAGCATCGCATACCGTAGGAACATGAACATAGTGCCATGGGATTTCAGTGAAGTGCAGAAATGACTCGGAGTATGAAGATCCAGACTGCAAGACCCTTCTTTTGAATCAGAGTCTTCAAGAGACCCGGACGGGAACCACTGGCAGGATCTTCACTTGGTCCCAAGTGCATGGTCTTTCTATGTGTGTCGCAGACAAGGTGACTTATTGACGGGTGACATAGATGATGTTCCTAGTCTTGCATTTTAGCACTCGCCTTGCTCACCTGCAATGGCCTTGTCCAACTTGGCCTTTGCCACACACAGTGCGACACAAGGGACCTGGCGAGAGAGTTGCATCAGCGGCCGAACACGGGTGTCTTGGGTCAAGACCACGGCCCAAGTCCTGAAAACGCCGCCGTGGTCTCGATAGCACAGGCAGCGTCCATTTGGAGAGGAAAACCACATGGGTCGATGAGAATGGTCTAAAACGGCCTCCAATTGTTCGGTCCATGGTCGAGTGCAGTCGAAGCAGACCCACAGTCACCCACTTCCGAAAATGGGAGTCACCGTTTTTGCAAATGCGGTCCATGCAGTCTTCATGCGCTGTTCCAGCGAAGCGGTGCTTAAAAAGGTTTATAATTTATATGTTTGAGAGAGAGAGGGAGAGAGCAACTCTTCTCTGCCGTGTGCGGGTGCCAAAAGCCATCCAAAGAGCATCAAAGAGCAACCATCAGTGGGTGGTGTCAGTCAAGACCTATTCAGAACTTGGTGATAATCCACAGATATTTGTAGATCATTCTATTCGTCACCACTGCTAAGGCCCGCCAAACAACCAATTCAGTCCGACTGGGTCGCACCGACAACCGAGAGCTTTTCTTGGAGATGAACTTGCAGCGCCCCGACACTCAAACATGATTCTAGACCCTAGGCCAAAGAGTCACGACTACCTCTCATGTCCTTCCGACAGGCTTTTCCTACCTCCAGACACCCACATTTAGATTTGCCGACGCATTAATTGTTTGTGATGATGATGATGATGATGATGATGATATGATTATATGAGATCCGTTCAAAAAGCCTTGAAAGCCTTTTACATAAAGAGGGAACGTTTGCAATTGAACTTCTTCAACTTAGATCTTCGTTTAGAAGCGGAGTCATGTAAATACCAGGATGATATGGTTCCCCCCAGCTTGGCGCTAGGATCGCGCTAGGTTTGCGCTAGCTATTTGGGAATGATTCTATAATGTTCTTTATATATAATTGATCTCTTTGTATTGTTGCCATTAAAGTGTCATTGAAGTAGACCTGTCCAGACCTCGCAGCCTTTCGCTTTTGTTCAAGATGATCGTCCCGAAGACTTGCCTGGCACCTCGTGGGTGCCCTGGCGAGCTTTCACGGGCATGTGTCCAGGGATTCCATGTTCTCCGGTGTGGTGCTCAGAAGCATCATGTCACCTATGCGGTGGCCAAGGGTAACACAACAGAGTTTGTATATTCCACCCGTGGCCTCATGGATATGATCCGAAGTCAAGATGTCATTCGAGATTGGGAAAGCAATGCTGTGCCTCACAAGGGGCCAGAGGTGACTCCAAAGAAGTCAGAGCATGTGGAGAGCAGCAAGCAGTTGCCGCCGGGGAGTGAGCAAAAGAAAGCCGAGACCAACCCAAAGAAGTCAGAGCATGTGGAGAGTGGCGAGCAGTTGCTGCAGGGGAGTGAGCAAAAGAAAGCCGAGACTACTCCAAAGAAGGCAGCGCCAGTTCAGGCCCATGCTACTCCTGAAAAGGCAACGCGTCCCAATTTCGGAGGCAAGACCATACGAGCCCTTCACTGCAAGAATTGTGAGACCCCACGGACGGAGCATTTTAGGAACGCTTTGTGCCCGGACTGCACCGATGGGTTCCGCATGCCGGGTCGCAGCCGCTGCGAAGCCAAATGGACCCCTGACATGAAGAAAGAAGTCGCAGAAGAATCGGCCAAGAAGCGGGCCAGGCGTCACTAAGCCGCCAAAGGTGTGTGGTTGTGTAGTTTGTTTGCCCCTAACTAGGCGTTCCAGTGTTCCAGCGAGTTAATGCTGGGTCATAGAAGCCTGCCGATGTGTTTAGCCTTTCCTGACCTCCTTCAAAATGACTGAGGTGCTGAGAAGACAATGACGCCGGCAGAAAAAACCATCTTTGAGATGCAAAAGGAGCTGATGAAGCGATTGAGCAGCGAAGGCTGAGGGGCACCAAAGAACATAGACTTTGTTCTGCTTTGTGGGGGCTTGAGGGTTAGACTCATTGCTCAGTCACAGTCTTGAGCCAGAAGTTCGGGGCACTCATGGCGGAGACTTGTCTTTATTTGAGTCTTGGGCCAAGTAAGAGACCTTGGAACAATTTGCTTTTCTCTGCAAGAAGCCAGAGAAGGAAGCTTACCAGGGAACGAAGAAATACCGTTGGCAGAGTGATTCCAGCTTATTTTCAACACATGCAATCAGTCAGTGGAGACACTGCAGAAGAGTTACAGGCTTACATTTCTTATTTGAGCTCACACACTGCCAAGTTTAGAAAGGAAATCAACAAAGCAGGCCGAGGCTTAGTTTTCCGCTTGCATGAGCAGGAAGCTCAGCTGGAGAGGGATTTGGCTTGGATGAAGAAGGTTGTTGGTGCATATGTATTTCACAGACGCACTGCTGAAAGGCAAAAAGATGAGGTCAGTCGTATGATCAATTCTCTTCCCGGCTACCATTGCTTGATCTGGATAGATTGGAAACAGAACGTTACAATCCCGCTAGCCCACAGGCAAACGTCCAACATGTTTTGGGCGCAAGCCCGCATGGAGCTCAGCTGCTTGGGCATTGTTGTCCATGCAGGGCAACCTTCAGGTGGATCTAAAAAGCTTGCCTTTGTAATTTTGTCAGATGTGATCGAGCACACATCCCTAGCAGCAGCGCTCCAGCTTGAGCTTTTGAAGGGACACCTCCCAATGGAGCAAATTCGCGAAGCTCATTTCTGGTGTGATTGCGGGGCTCACTATCGAAATCTGGATCTATGCGCGTATCTGGAGATGCAGTGGGCTAGCAGGGAAGCCGGAGGTATTCCCATTTCAATCAGCTTCTTCGGAGAGAAGCACGGAAAAGGAGAATGTGATTCTCTTTTTTCTTCATGCAACCGATGGCTCAAAGACAAAACATCGCAACCAGGTACTTGCTTAGCTAGTCTTGCAGATGTCATGGATGCTTTCAAGGAAGGAGCAGCAGCTGACATGCGCTTGAATCCGAAGGGTATACAATACAGGGTTGTCCATTGGAATCCAGACCAGAAGCCTGAGAGACAGTGGAGGGGGGTATCCGACAACGTGCAGATCCGAAAAACTTATTGTTTGTCAGCGCGGAGTGTTGGGGACAAAACTGAGCATGTGCAATGGCGGAACCTTTTCTTTTCAGACCTGATGGGCACAACCTCTGGTTCACGAGTCACCTTGTGCAGTGGCTTGGAGAAGATTCCAGATAAAGACAGGCAGTGGCGCAGAGGCCACTACACTCAGAAGAATTGGGTTGCGGAGTTTCCAACTAAAACCAATGCATTGATTCATCGGCATGAAGATTTGGGTTCGCATGACACAGGAACACTTGGCGATTCAATCGAGAAGAAAATTGCACGCTATGAGCGTCACCTGGCCACAAAACGAAAGAAGTCAGCTTTGAAAAGAAGCCGTGCTCTGCAAGACTGCGAGTCTAGCAGCAGCACCAGCAGCAGCAGCAGCTAGCTACAGTGAGCTTCGCGCTAGCACACGCGTGCAAAAAAGGGTGTGGGGGTCCGAAACGCAGGAAATGAAAGCAGGAGGGTCATATATGAATTTATATTTGACTTTAGAAGCGGAGCCCCATGGAATAGCGTTAAACGATCGTTTTTGGGAACTTACATTTTGACAAGACCTCATATATATGTTGCATATATATATATATATGTATACATATACATGCACGTGTGAAGTTATCCCACTTATCTCGATGTGGTTCCCCACGGCGGTGGTTTGCTTCCGGGAACTGGACCGACGCGAAGGTTCCACAGCGAGCTCCTCTCGACGCGAGCTCCTCCAGGTGGCGCAGTCACCCACAAAGCGTGGCAGTGTTGCAGCTGGTGCAGTACCAGTTGAGCCGGGATGTTGTTGAGCCGGGATGATCTGAGAAAGATTCAGGATCGAGTTTGGGATATATTTGTCGTGTATGTTCAGTTCCACCTATTTTCACGGTTAATATGCCGTACGCAGTATACACACCGGTATACTCAAGAAAAGGATCAAGTACACAGCGGAACGCAACCAGATCCAGGATCCCTGATTCTGCTTGCTTCCATAAGAAGCTGCAGGATATCACACCAACAGCCTCAAAGCTGCTGCCCAGGCGCCACTGGCTCGTCCTCCTGGGTTTTGCCGGGGGCCTTGCCGGCCGACCCGGTGACCGTCGGGCATGTCGCGCGGAGAGTGCGCTGACGGAGGAGCAGAAGCTGGCCATCCTGAAGGCGCTGCGGGGTGAGTGTTCAGGTGGCGGCGGCTGTCAGACTGTAAGTGTTTTTCATGCGAGGTAGCTGCAACTATGTCCCGATATCCTGCGATCAGGAGGTGCAGAGTATGGGCGACATTGCAGTGAGTGCCCCCACGGTGGAAGAGGAAGAGGCTGCTTGGACCAGGATGCTGGACCGCTTCGCGGGCCTCCCAGATATCGAGGTACGAGTGCGCTGCAACCCGGATGCCTTTGACCATCTTGGACCGGCTTTTCCTCGTTCAGCGAGCACGGTCCGCGGGTGTGTCGTTTACAACTGAAAGAAGTGGGTCAAGTAAGAATTTGTGCGTTCTGGTTGGTTGAGATCCTGCAACTCCAATTTGAGTGATCCAACACAAGGCATCCTTCTTGGTGTTGCATGTGACAATGTGACCATTCCATTTGGTCACATTTTCACATCACCAGACCCTTTTCACATCACTAGACCATCCGATGATCCGAGAACTCGATATCCTTGGTGCAGCTTATGGCTTACGATCGATCAAAACCGCTCGAGGTAACCGGGGCAACTCCTTGGCTCGGCAAGGGAAGCTGTGCCTTGGCGGCACATGACGCGACGGGGCGCGAGCATGGAGCATATAATGTCAGCAGAAAGCGGGGCGTAGGCAGCAGATTGGTGTTCGAAATGGGGCGAACTGGCTACAATTGTGTTGCTTTCTTCCAGGGCAGTCAGGAGGCCTACGAGGTCTCCCATATTTGTAAATGCAACCATCTATGGGTAAAATAGCTCGTGGAATTGTCCACTCGGGCTGTTGGAGACAGGAACCTATATACAGGGCGTATGGTCACCGCATGTCTCCGGCACTTTCTATGATGTTCTTCTTTGAATCAGGTAAGTTTAGTCCAAAACCGAGGTTGGTAAACGTGTTGGTGTGTTTTGGCGCGTTTTGGTGGTTTTTCTCATGGACTTCTGCCAAGCAATACATCCACTGAGGCAAGAAGCGCTGGCAGACTACAATCGTGCCATTGAGCTGGTGCCCAATGCCCCGGATCCGCACTTGAACCGCGGAGCGGTCTATGAATCCCTGGGGCGTTTGGAAGATGCACTCAAGGACTATGACGTCGTTTTGCCTATCGGCATGAAGTGATTGATTTTGATTTTGTTCTCCCGAGTTAACAAGGTGCATCGCTACTAGTAGCTAAGTGCATTACTGTACTACTAGTAACAAGAAGCTACTAGCATTAAAGAAACCTAGTACCAGCAGCATGTTGTAGGAATGTCATGTGCTTGTCTTACAAAAATTGCTGCACAGAGTTGGTCTTGGACGTGTGAACAAACCGCGCATTGCATAGACTCAGTTCTGTTCTTTCAGGTGTGGGATATCGTGGGATGATCAGGAGGCGGATAAAACCAATCCAATTATATCCAATTCACGTTCATCCAGTTCTGAGATTTCAATGCCAACTAACTTGTGATGGATTTTGATAGCAATTTCAATACCCTGAAGCTTTTCTGCATTCAAGTTTCGACGTTTTATGGTCTTCATACCAAGAACATGGCAAAAAATAACATATATTATATCTACATATTAATTCCACACCCCAGAACTGGCGCCCGTGAACCACCCCTTGTAGGTCCTGGTATGCTTTGCTTTCCAATTCCTCACCGTTGCAAACGCCTCTACCACGGAACCCAGGCAAGATGATCCAGGGGACCCTGCTGCGTGGAACAACCGTGGCGCTTGGTCAACGATCTTAGTTTGTTTTTCTCCAGCGGACCATGTCATACCATGTTATACCATATCATTATTACTATCTTGTTTTTGTTCATTATTATTATATAAATTAATGTTTGTAAGTGTAGAAGTACATATAAAACTGTTGTGTGTCATGTTGTTCCCATGGTTGAGAATAAAAGCGAGGCATTCCACCGTTGTTTTTGCTTGTTGGCCCTGATGTTGAGATATTAAACCTCACTGTCAACATCAGCATGCCCTCAGGTTCAACCTAGGTTGAATATGGTTGAATTGGAGTCGGGCGCCGCTACTCCAAGCTGAGGCAATGCACTGCTCGGGCTTCAACGCTTTGAAGAAGCCAAGGACTCCTTTCAGCAAGCCTTGGATATCTCAGGAGACTCTTGGATGGGCGGAAACTTCCTTGGAACCCACTGAGTCACGGGAGATTAGACCAGCATGTCAACCCCCTTCCGGTACTGGTAGATGATTGATCCAGGTCAAGCGGAACACCATCCCCCATTCGAAGGACTGCATTAAGGCACCAGCATGGCAGTGTCAATAGCATCAGGGCGTCAGGGCCAGTAGGAGAAAGAGAACGGAATAAGAAGCAAAGTGAAATAAGATGTCCAACCAAAATCGTGGGCAGACACTAATTGAGCAAGCCTGCCTTGGAATGCCTTCAACATCTTACTTTGGTATGATGTTTCTTTGCCGGAAGGGTCTCAGCAGTTCGCCTTCGCGGGGGTCAACCTGGCTATTGCGCAGTATGAGCTGAAGGAGGATGCCCAGGCAGGGAACCTCCGGTCCAAATGCCTTGAAAAACAGAACATGGAAGTCAACAATGCCTTGCTTGGAGAGGAACACCAGCGTCCACTCCCATGTTTGTGTTTCGGAGTGCATCACCCATGAATCCATCATTGTGCCCGTGACGACACAATGCGCCCCGCTGTGGCCAGCTCTTGGGATGGAATGTGGATACTTTCTGCATCTTTCCGCTGAGGGGAACAAACCCTGAAAATAGGGATTTGATTGTCCTACTTTTCATTGGTTTGACTCACCCCCAGGGTTACTCACCCAGTATCAGTTTGACTCACCGGAGCTCGACGGGGATTCTTCCATATCCCAAGCAAATGGCAAATGTACATGTGCTTGCATGATTCTTTTGTTTTTGCTGGTAGGCAGTCAGGTTGTTGTTTAGATTGATTGGTTAAGTTTAAGTATTGATTGTAGCATTTTTTAGTTGCTTGGAGAGTGAGCCAGAGTGACTCTCATGCGTTTTTTAACAATATGTTTTTGCTTTGTGTCAGTGTCATACACGTTTTGAAGTTGTTTGATATGGACATTTGATCATGTGGCTCGTTATTGAAAATTGAACTTGACAAACGCATTAGGCATTAAGTATGTATATATATAATATATGTGTGTGTGGCGTGCGCAGCTTGGATTCTTCAGTAACGGGTGCCTCCTTGCTTTGGACACCAAATAATCCATCAGTGCCAGATTAGGCCATACAGGTGACTTCAAAGGAAGGATGAAAACATATTTTTCTTGCAGTGTTTGTTCATTTTTTGCTGTTCATTTATGGCCCTGTTCCCAAGTTTCACCATGTTTGGCTCACTCCAACCTCACGCGGAGGCGGTGCAGACGCTGAGGAAGCTCCTTGCACGCTATGCAGAAGCCTTCCCCGACGCGCGGGCGGCCTATGCTTTGGTCCTGTGGGATCAGGGGGAACGTGTTGAAGCAGAGCCTTCGTCGCAGTCTTTGGATGTCTTTGGATAAAAATTATGTCAGGGTCTTGGAAGTGAAGGTGCTTTGAAGAGAAATTGTTAATAAGTAGAGACGTTTGAAGAGGGTGAAGGAAAAGAGATGAAAGGAGCGTGTTTGTATAGAGGTTTATGTCTACAAAGTCTGGAGAATTGGTCTTTAGGTCTTTCAGGAGATGGTGGGGTTGGTACCATTGGCTGCTGGTTGCTGCATGTTGCTGCTGCAAATAAGACTAAGTTGGTGGTGTTGGACATGCTTAGAGCTAGGTTTTGCTGATCAACCGACCCAAATGTTTGAAGAAGATCTAGGAAATACGCAGCAAACCATCAGTCAGAGTGCAGCTGCAACTACTCCTACTCCTCCTTCTCCTCCTGGCTATGCCTACTATAATATGTTTTGGGGAGTCTACAGTATACAATTACAATTCACACCTATATATTCACACCGGGCTATTACGTATCCAAAACACCTGGCAATTTTTCAGAAGGGACAACCGGGACAACCAGCCCAAAACGACCCACCATGTGGGCAGATGAAAGAGGATTCAGGTTGAGAGATGATCCAACCGCCCTCCCCATCCTTATTGGTCGACTACAAAGAACCGTTGTCATTTGCTACATCCACCCAGGAGTCCCAATGGGACCGGGCGACCAGCGTGGACCCCCGCTATCGCCAAGCGCAGTGGGTCTCCGAGTTCCGCCGTTGGCCACCTCGCCTGATGTCGGTGTTCCGACGCTTCTCAGAGACCACCAGTGTCAAGGTGAAGCCATGAGGCTCAAGGTGAAGCCATGAGGCTCAAGAAGAGCGGCCATGCATTTTTCGCCCTTCCGGGCAGATCCGGGGAGAACCGGTAGGCAGACTTGGCGCTGTCTTTCAAGCGGAGAGATGACCCGTGGATTAGCCTGATCCACACGCTTTGGGATTGGAGGTGTCAAGGTATTTTGGCCCACACCCATAATTCACACTCGATTTTCAGACTCGCCCGCTCCCAACAGCGCCTGTGCAGAATCATGAAAAAGACGCGCATGTTGCTGTGGTGAACTTTAAGGGGGTTCTGCGTGTTCACCCAAAAGATCCAAAAACCCGAAAGAATGTTCCTTGAGACATCTTGAGACACACCTTCTGTGACACTTCTTTGTCTTTGTAGCTTCCCAACGTGCCCGCACCCAACCGCCAAGGTGAAAGAAGCTTCTCCCAAAGAGGTCAAAGCGTCAGGACGCTGTCGCACTGTCGTGATGGACCGTGACAGTCACGCTGTTGGACCCATTGCTGTTACGTCAACATAGCAACCATAGGGGTTCATAGGTTCAGACACGGACACATTTGTTTGAAGTAGTCCAGTGATTCAAATCATCCTTTTGTACAGGCATGCTGCAGTGACTTTGCTGTAGTGTTTTTGTTTTACATTGTCTATTGTCTTTACATCACGGGATTCATTTGTAGGGCGTATAATGGTGTGTCGACCAGTTATGCTAAAGCTGGAGAATCGATAAGTACAATTAGGGTAAGCAAACGGGCAGCAATCATTATATATTTTGCCAAACCGTTGACAAGCGCATTGCAGTGCAGTAGAGATTAAAACATGTAAGGGACACACAGGAGGGCAGTTGGAAAGGCTGAGGAAGCTAACAGAGAGAGAGAGAGATTAGAATGAGGGTGAGATGAAAACATGAACATAGTTAGTCTAATAGCTAGTCTAATATGTATATGTATACAGTATATAGACCTTAATGTTGTTCCTATTTTTCCGAGTTTGGTTATTTGCACAAGCATTGCTCTGAACAACACAAGGGCATGATTGATCATCTGCAGTTCACCAGCTGGCCGGGGGCATTCGAGTTTGCTCCAGACCTTGGTTTGAATGAGCAACCCAATAAGGGTTGGCCCCAGATCAATGGCCGTGCTGGGCCTTCCTTTCTTCAAGGAGCCTCGAGTGGCTGGCCCACAAATATGGTGTTAGCTTTGCTCTTCTTCGCAGGGAAGCCTGGTGAAAAATCATGAAGGAAAGTCTATTTGGCAGCTACACGCACGTTTCGAACCAGCATCATTCAACCGACGATGATCATAGAACATTTGGGCCACTTTCCACATGGTCATGGGCACCTGGAGTCAAGACCGTTTGCCGTGCAGTCAAGTTGTCATGCAGTCATGCATTTGCAGTGGGGCGCCTCGTTGACACAGCAAGAGGAGCTAAGCTCACGCACAGTGAGAGAGACAGAGAGAGTGTGGGGCACCGATTGATATCGATTGAACATGCCATATCATGCCTTACTCACCTGCAGCTGTTTGTGCTTCACCAGACGCTTTTTCTGAACGCGACGAAGCCCCCGTGCTCGGCCATGTCCGATGACGCCGTGCTCCGCCGACCCGCCCGAATGGACCGCCGGAGGACTGAGGGAGATCATCATTACAGAGCTCCTGGGACGAAGTGGTTGGGTAACAAAAACCAATGAAGAACTCAGATGTCAAAGGGTGAAAGTTGAGGTTTACTGAGGTTAGAAAGATGAGGTTGGCTCTTGATTGCACGTCAACCCCCCAAATATGACGAGGTTGAACAAATTTGTACAATCCATATTTCGTGCAGTCTTATTATTAGAGTATATTCATATAATTTCAGCATTGACTCTGGAACTCTGATTCCAAGTGCCTCAACAGGACTCCACCACCTCCAGGAACGCACCGAAAGACTCCCCCATTGGGGGGGGGAAGAGGAGACGAAGGGAGACCTTTAAGTCCCAAGTGCTCAGGTCCCCAAAATATGTGACACCCACGGAAACGGACCTACAAGCCCGTGGTGTGGTCCATGGGATCGATTTGCCACCGTGCCACCGGGTAGCTGTTGATTCCTCGCCCATCGATGACCCACCAGGTCCACGCTTGACGTTTGGTGTCACCAGGTCCACGTGGCGGACCTCACTGAGGGCATGCGACAAGGTCCCATCTCCCATGCCATTCGCAAGGCGCGCGTGTTTGACCGCCGGGCGTTCAGTTCGTTCTGTTGGCTGCACGGAAAGTACGAACAAGAAGATCTAAAGATGGATGGTTGCGGCGGTCGTGTGGTGCTGCATCAGAGATACATGTTTGTGTTCCATGTTTAAGAATCTCTTTTGGATTCGGATGGGTTGGGGCCTGGGTGGTGCCTGGTATGGCGACGTGTGACGTGGAGTTTTCGCAACGTGTTTGCTCCTATGGACGCGGCGAATGAGCTGATATGCGATAAGTTCTCTCGTGGACTATAGTTTCTCCTTTAACCTGAATGTGCTGAGAAAATTCTTCGCCCAAAACTGTGTTGATTCAGTTCATGATGCCCTTTTCTCAAGTCCCTGAGACCCATGCCGCAGGAGAAGAAGAACCTGAGACCCATGCCGCCGCTGATGACCTTACATGACATGCGGCTGCATCCCCCTGCGGCACCAGCCTTCAGCCCTTTGGCCTCTCATCCTTTGAGCCCTCAAAGCGACCAATCCACTCCCAGGAGCCACCGACGACGACGCGGTGGGGCGGTGACGTCCACCAGCCGTCCTCGCTGGTCGCACCAGTGGGGCCTAAGAAGGAATTGGAACCGAAGCATTTTGGGGTGAGACATTGGAACCCTTTTGCATTCGATCACGGTCCAGACTTTACTTCAGGCCTTTTCTAATTAACGGCGAAAGAGGCTAGACCTTCCTGGGCTCACGGCTCACCACTTGCCATTCCAAGTCTTTGCATCACCCTGATGTTTGGATGCTGCGCTTCTGGCTGGAGGGGGGTTCTTCAATTCTTGGGTGGTAGCACAGGATTTGCCAAGTTTGTATCACGACCTATGCAATGTGCTGTGCAGATGTTAATTGATTGTAATTGTATATGTATTATATATATATCTTAAGTTTCTGCACGGGTCTTCCCAATTCAAAGTGTAGTCTTTAAAGTGGCAGTGTCGTGTTGGGGGGACACAATTCCATCATACGGTCATACTGCATCGGCGCACGCACGTCCCACACCTATGCCGCATGGCTTGGCTCGCACCAGCATGGCTCCCTCCCGCTGCACCCTTTGCCAGGAAGAGCCCTAGCATGCTCAACCGGCGTTCCACGCTGCCAGCGCTGCTGGATGTGAACAGTGAAGCCTTGATGCTCTCACGACAGCTGCACTTGGACTTTCACGAAGTGAAGTTTGTTGTAGCTTGGGCTTGGACCAGGCTCAGGGTTCGGGGCAAAAACAACCACTAATGGCAGGGCCCACCCCAAACGAGGTACTGGGGGGTATATGTTTGCAACTCTAGTTTGGTGTTGGAATTCTGTGCATAGATGTGCACATCTCTGGAAAAGGACCGGTCATTTTTGGAAGGAGATTCCCTCCACTTACATGGTGGATCCCAAGACGGGTAGAGGATAGTTGCGAACCTGTTCGAGACCCAAGAGGTTGATGTGTTGTTGGTAGGCCCTGTCTTCCAGTTGGGCTTACCGCTCAGATGGAGTGCTCGAAAGAGACCGGTCAGACTGGACCTGGAGACTCCACCAGGTCCAGGAGTTGCGGCGCGACGGCCGGCGGCTCTCCAACGGCGGGATGGACCTGGGAACCTTTCGTCAGGCGTGGGGGGCGGCCCGTGGGGGCCTGGCGTTGGACCAAGAGGGGATGTCCGATACAAGTAGTACTCTAAAACTCAATATAACGATATATAACGTATATATAATTAATATATATATATATGTATATATAGGTATATACATATATATATATATATGTTTTACTATTACTATATAATACGAATGCATGACCACCGACCACCCCAATAGCATCTATAGGCAAATGTGGCTCAAACGTTGAGCACTCGGGCTCATGAGTTCGGCCCAAAACTGCTTCTGACAAAGGTCCCCCGCCGAATGTGTTTTGCACCAACCTGCTAGAGGATGGAAAATGATCACAAGCCAGGGGCCTTCTTGACAAACAGCATGACACACACGCATAGTTACCATAGTTCTTCGTAACCTGTGAATTACAGTATTTTTTGGAAAGTAATGCTTGCATTTTGTGTGGCACATTGCCTTTGAAACAAGGGCTAGAGCCTTAGAGAAGAATGAACAGCAGAGAGATTGGAATCTTCCATATAAAGGTTGGGCAAGATTGAAAGGTCGATACAGCAAGGTCCGAGCTCAGTCCAAGTGGCTGCATACATTGTATCCCTACAAGATATGGGTGTGTATTTCAATAGGGAGACCCCCAACCAGTGGGCTTCGGTCTATTTGCCTTCTTCCAGGGGGTCGAACTGGGAGGTCTCCCTATGTAAATGCACACCCATATCGGTGTGGACAAACTTGAAGTCAAGTTGAGGGGGTTGTAGGCAACCCTTGGTGTGGCCAAACTCTGATGCTTTTCCATTCATTGTCGTCCAAGCGCAAGACATTAAGATGCCTTGAGCACATTTGAGCACAACTTTTAGCTCGTTGGCGCCACATGGAAGATGAAGAAATCTTGTGTGGGTGTGTGGGGGTGTTTAAGGCCACTGTATGAGGTCAAACGCGTCAGAGGATCCCTCAGACCACCACATTCGATCCCTCAGACGCTGCCAGATCCTGCTACGTGTCTTTGGGTTGGATGACATCAAGGAGCATGTGGTGCAGGAGCGAACCAGTGCGTTTGCTGAACCAGTCACGAGTCATGTCAGAGCTACCTAGACGTTGGTCTCTAAATCTGCTTGGTTTGATCAGCTTCCAGAGTTTGCTGCCGTAGTTTCTAACCCCAAAAAAGGCATAAAAAGGCTACATATGGCTATATAAGGCTTGGTTTTTTGATCAAATGGCCATCATTGTTGACGTTTCAAAGTCACGTCGACATACTAACATGGAAGTGGCCATACCATCCACACCTCCGTTTTGGTCCAATGTGATGTCTACTCCAATATGGAGACAAGCCCTTTTCTTTGCTCATTTCTTGAGTCATGCATGTATGCGCATGCCCGAATTCGACGGTGCCGCAGAATGCATATGGGGAGTGTTTGGCAGCAGAAGGCCCGATCGACACTCGAAAGTTTATGATTTGGCCGCTGGGTGGCAGATGGGGATCTCGGGAAGCTTTTGTCATAGAAGCAGGTAAAAGCCATACTGTATAGCCACCGCCGCTTTGAGCTCCATTCCGTTCAAGTCCCAAAGACCAGGTTTTGACCAAAGCCGATATACACTGACATCAGCCAGTTGCTTTTGTCGAAACCATCCCTTTGGAAAGAAACTTTGGGGGAGAGCTCTTAGGATCTAGTTCAGCTAGCTGAGGTCTTGTAGGATGGAGGCGTTTAGGTCTCTGTCTGGCTCAACGAAAGCATACACCGCAGCAGGCGTTTGGGGCCTTCAAAGGGGTGATTGAAAGAAGGCTGTTACATTTCAGGCCTCCCACATGGCCCTCATCCACAAATTTTCTGAATTTGTGTTTGGTCGCAGCATCACCAGGGTAAGCCGGTGCACTGAGTTGAAGATGTTGAAGCCTGTAGTTTAACGCCCTTATTGAATGTTGTTGGAGCGTGTCTCAAGTTGGATTGCAGAGGAACACATCATGTTCTCTTGAATGAAATGAGCTTCACCTCATGAAGCGGGTTTCACACATCATCACTGCAACCACATTCTAAATTCAAGTTGTAAGGTTTCCTCTCAGGTCTACAAAACGGCACCTCCCATGGTCCATTGGACCATATTGGACCCATCAGTCCGCATGATGTCCCTATGCATATGACATCGATCTATATGGCATTACAGTCTAGCATGTGTAGATGCACACATACTATATAATGCAATTATAGTGGTTTCAGAGTAGATATGAGTAGATAGTGTACCCACACTGAGGTACCGGGACCACATTTTCAACATCGAGGCACCGCTCATGTTGCCGGTTCTGTGTGCTTAGTCGGCCTAAGCCTGGGGAGGCAAAGCTGTACCCATATATATATATGTAAATATATTTATATACACATATATTATACCTGCAAGGTAGGCCTGAAACAGCCGAGT